CCGGCTCGCTCGCCCGCATGGCAGCCACCGCGGCCACCGCGCGCTCTTGTCACTCGGCTGAATTCCTGCGCTGCCTGCCTGGAGAAGGAGTTGTCCTGTCTGGTGTGGACGCACAGAGTAACCTTGAAGACAGGCTTCGGTTTCCGCAGATAAACAGAAGGCGGTCAAACAAACAACCAACCACCGCAGCAAAACCTTGCTGCACAACACCAGAGCGTGAAGGAGCACGCTGGCCTTAAAGGAAATTCCAAGGCGGTCCACCAGACAGCCAGCAAAGCGGCTGCAGCGGGATGGTTTTGTCCCTGCTTTCTCTCAACTCCACAGCTTCCCACTAGCGTTTCTCTTCTGGGGTAACCTGCAAATTGACCTGAACTTGGTAATGAAGGGGCAGAGGGAAACAAGCACCAAGCCCTCAATGTCTGTCCACACAACCTCCACCCTACTGAGCTTTAGGAAAAAGCAGAAAAACAAAAGCATCAATAACTCAGAAAGCAAGCGAAAAAACAAATCCTGACCCAGCAAACACCTCAGCTCCTATCTCACTCAAGGTGGACACTGTCAAGGTTTGTGAGAGAGAACCTCAGGAGATGTATCATCCAGAGGACACACTTCTTCATTTCAGAAGTCATTCCTTGTTTCTCAGAAAACCCATCTGCCCAGCATCCACGTCACGATGGCCAGCGTCCCACAGCCCCTCTGCCGGCATCAGCAATGAATCAAAGGCTGAGGGAGCCACGAGGGGTGTGGGCTGGGCCCTGACTTTGTCAGGCCACAGTCAAGGCGTATCAGCAGTCACTGAACCAGGGAATTTTGTGTGGGATTTCCCTTGCCAGTGCTAGGTTGCAGAGGGAGGAGCAGCCCCGAGTGCTACGGGAAAGCAGCTCTGCTGCAGGCTATCCCAGCCTGAGATCCTCAGCAGGACCCCTCTGGTGTGATACACGTGCTCACGTTTCTACAGCCCAAACCCTGAAGCAAGGCAGAGGCAGACTGCCAGGATGGTGCTGGGATGCTGCGCTCTGATCTGACTCTCTGCTGATGCTGATGCAGGTCATCCAAAACGAGAAAAGTTTTTTTTCTGTGAATGAAAAGATGCTGGTGCTGTTCTCAGCTCTGCTCCCCTCATCTCATCACAGCACTGAGCCCGGAGTTCTCTTCTGCTCAGTAATCTAAGCACAGCATGAGGAGGAAAGGAGAACTGATGCTATATTTAATTACAGTTAGGACAGGCCTCCTACCATCCTGCTGATGTCCTTAATGGTGGAGATGCGGAGAGGCGGCCCTTGTCCGGCCTTGGCACATCCCCATCCGAGAGCCGACGGATGTGCGTGAGCAGCACCCGGCCGCTGGACCAGCGCCAGCCACAGGCAGAACACCCCTGGAGCAACCACCCGTCTCGTGCACGTGGTGATAACGCCTGTGCTTCACCCTTGGAGAGCTGGGCCAATGCTACACTGCAACCGGCCAAGTATGCCAGAGGGAAGCGCTGCGGACTCTGCCGCTCCACACATAAAAGCTACAGCGGGGGCCATTTTTTTTCGCATCCGAAGGAAAAAGGGAGCTAGGTGTAGAACTCTTTGCATCCCAGTGGTGCAGAGGGTAGTATCCAGTTGCTCTCTTGACTTGGATTCCCTGGAGCAGGATTTGTCCTCGAGGGCTGGGCAAGGGACTCTGAAAAATACATCTGTGAACACCCAGCGCAAAGGCAGAGGACTGGCTGCATGGGCACTCCCTGGCACCACTCGTGCTGGCACAGCCGCAGCCCCAGGGCTCGGGCAGGGTCCCTGCCTGGCCCCCGGCCGCAGAGAGCTCCATGCCCACCCCGGGTCCATTCTGCCCGGCACAGGAGCAGCGGTGTTCAGTGCTCCTCGAGCTCCATCTACAGCTGCTTTCTCTCGAGGTCTGGAAAGCTTCTGCCAACGAGGGGCTGACGCTCTGAATGGCAGGTGGCAAGCACATGTTCTGGGACGTTTTGTCACCATGTGTCCCCGAGTCTCAGATACCCTGTGGTACTGGGAACTGTCCTACCTCAGCGCAGAACTGAGCGCTCCTGGCTGCTATGACTAACACAATTTGCTTTGCTCTCTTCACCACAGACAGCCTGGTTAAAGCTTTAAACTCTTTTGCTGAAACCAGCAAACTTAGAAGCAAATCTTAAGTATTGCTTCACACACCAGGGTTACCTTCCGCCCTGCAGAGATCCTTGTTAATACTAACATATTAATAACGTGACTCTGAAGTATGGTAGCATTCAGGAGTCACAGCCATGGCCCTGGAAGACACCGAGACAAGCAAACAGCCTCAAAAATGTAGCCAGATGCTACCTGAAAAGGAATGAAGAGGCTGCAGGAGATGACATGACTCACCCAAGGTCTTGCAAGTCAGAGCTAGAAACAGCACTCAGCTTCCAGCCTCCCCGTGCGAGGCTCTGATCACCAGCCCACACCGCCATCTGCTCCACCTGACACTCCTGCATCCCATCAGATTCCAGCGCAGCTCTCACAGGGCACTGGGAGCATCCCTGGGGAGCGACTGCATGGCTGCAGACAATATGGGTTTTAGGGGTAAAGATTTTCAGTCCTTGTTTCTTAATTCTCCTTCTCATCTCCCTTCAATAAAGCTGATCTCCAGGCAAAGGGAAGGTGGCTCTGCCTGTAGAGTTCTTTGGCCACAACCTCTCAGTATGTCTGAATGTGAACGAGATGAACATACATTGTCTGAGCAGCAACCCAGCACCCTACGGCTGGAAGTGACCCTCGAGACACTCTCCGTGAGCAGCCCCATTCTGACAGTGACGCTGGCACACACAGCCCACCCCAGCCCTGTGGCTACGAGGCTCCAACAGCAGCTGGGGTGTCCGCCCCATTAAACCCGACAGTTACCATTTTAACTATCCCTTGAAAGACCAAATCAAAACTCTAACGAAGTTCCCTACAAGCATGTCAGTTTGATATTGTCATTTTGAAACCATGTTAATGTCAGAAAACCTAACATGAGAAACAAGATTTGAACTGGGAAGGTGTGGCACCAGTAGCACACTCCAGAAACTGGTGCTGAAGGGCCCTTAGATGTACAAGGTCTCCAGGGCTGCATTTCGTATCTTGGGAGCATGAACTTAAGTTTCCTCAGACGAAACAGCACAGCGGCTTGGGACAGCTGGGCTGGGCTTCAGAGCTGACCAACGTCCCCGACTGCTAGGATGGGTAGAGCAGGCTGAAGCCCAAGAAGCCGCAGCTACCTGCTTGGCCGTGATGTGAGCATCCACCCGGGACAGGACTCACCTGGAGGGAGTTCAGCGCGATGAAGACATAGGCCCAAATGATGCTGAGGTGGACAAGGACCCCGCACACCCAGGTCAGCCCCAGCACGGGCAGCAGCACCAGGACAGGCTTGGCTGTGGCCCTGTCAGAAGAAGAGCTCAGGGTTACCTGGGTGCATTTCAGAGCTGAAGCGCTGCGCACTGGCACCCACCTCCCAGCCACCAGCGCTCCACAGGGGTCCCTGTCGTGCCCCACACCCCTGAGCCCAGGGTGTCCTCTCTCTTGCAGTTTAGAAGAACCTTTCCTTGCCTCCATGCTGGAGACAGCTCTCCTCCCCCAGCAAATGCCTTTCACACAACATGTCCATCAGAGGCACCCAAGATGGTAGCTGTGGAACAAACTCCTTTGCAAACAAAATTAGTTAAGATGGGAAAAACCAAACATTTCACCTCCCAGCCCCCAGTGTGCCAGCCCTGCTCTTTATTTATCACTGAGAGTTAGCAAGAAGGGAGCTCTTTGGCGTCACTAGCCATGAGAAAACAGCTATTTTCCCCCCAGTTGCTGCTACAAGGAGGGCTTCTGTGTTTGTTTTGTTAGCATATGGATGTCACCCTGCCCTCCAGCAGTGCCCTATCTTCATGCTTCTGTAAATTTGGGAAAACTTATTTATGATACAGGGGAACAATGTGTGTCTAGCAGGGGTATCCGGCGCCAGCTAACAACAATAAAGATTCACAGAGGATGATAAAGTAATGACTCAAGCAGCAGTTTTTTAGAGGTCTCTCTATATTGACTGATTACAGCAGTCCACACCGCTCTTTCCCCATGTATGTGATCCCCACCAGCGATATTTTCAATCCAATCAGTCTCAAACTCATACAGAAAATGTTTTTTATAATAGCAAATACGCAAAACCCCTCCACTCTACAGCTTGCATCCTTCTGCAGGGCACACACCAGTGCTAAGGATGGGACGAGTGTGAGACAAATTGAGTTACAACCCCTTCAAACCGCAATGTTCTGCGAAGCGGAGAGGAGCCGCTTCTGCAGCTCAGAGCTCTATAAAAATCCACGGAAAATGGGCACCTAATTGGGTCCCTGGGTTCCTCGAAACACCCCGAGCTGCTACCTGACTTCTCTACAGCGATGTTTTACAGGATGTCCGCACGCCTGCCAGCAAGCTGCTTAGCAGCACGGTGGGCTGATGTTAGCGAAGGGGCAGACAGCTCAGCTGTGAGACCTGCGCTCCCACGCACGCTGCCACCACTGCAGACGACGGGGATGCTCACACCGGCCGTTCCCAGACCCAAAGCGCTGCTCCTGGTGATGCCAATGGGCCCTGCGTAGCTTTAATTTCAGCAGGCACTGCCAAAGGTCTCCCATCCCAAAGTGCTGAGATTTTGGTGTGCGAGTGCAGATCTGGGGGTCCAGCACCGGGTTCCCGAGGCTGAAAGTGCTGGCTGGGCCTCTCAGCGGCACAGACATTAGCCCAGACTGCCTTTGGGTGATGCACAGTTATGCTGGAGGAGAAAATCCTTTCTGCCCTGATGCCCCTAACTCGTGGTCTTTCACTTTGCCAAGGCAAGGACTCTCAGCTTCACGGTAATTCCACCATTTCACACCCAGGGCAGCCACGGCTGGGAAAACCAGCCACCTCCCCTCTTACCATATCTGTATTCCAATCTGGTTGTCCAGGCTGCTGTTGGGTGTCAGCATCTTGGATCTCCGGCGAGCACTGGACACAGTCACCATCACCACCCGGAACAGCACGAAGGTGTTCACCTGTCAGAGAAGAGCCATGGCACCCAGTAACCTTCTGTAATCTCCAGTGGGGAGAGTTTTTTCTGCTGGGAACTCAGGAACTAAGTTTCAGAACTTGGGGAGAAACCTATCACTCCTGGGAAAGCAGTGAATAAAATACTTTACAGAGCCACCCCCACAAGTATTAAACTTATAAACTTATCTCAAAACTTCTCTTGCAGCATGTCTTCTCTCTTAATTGTCTACTCCAGACCCCTCAAACATCGCACCTTTCTCTGCTACGATGTCGTACAGTGATGCAGATTCTACTTCACGCACATAGATGTTCCCGTATTAATCAGACCTTTAGCTCAGGCAATGTCACAGTCAATCTACACATTTATCTACATTCCTCATTTAACAGCCAACAGAAGAATTGGCCAGCAAAAATTTCCTAAAGCACTTTTTTCTATCAAAAAGCTGCTTCAGCTAATGAGATTTATTTGTGTTGTGAAAGTATATATAAAGCATAATCAAAATTCTCCTGCAAAAGCAGCAGGCACTCTGAGCCCTGCGAGCAAGCACCTGAGCTAGAGAAGTGCTGACGCCCCTGACGGCAGCGCTCTCCTAAAACCAGACATGCAGGAATCACACCTTCCCGGCAGGATTTGGCACTTACGATGAGGATGAAGAGAACAGGCCCAACAAAGGCCCAGATGACGTTGGTCTGAATGTTCAGCCAGCAATGGTTGTCTGCCACATACTTGTTAAAGGAAGTTGCAAGGGTCACACCCACGACAACGACTGGAAGCCCTGCAGAAAAACCCCACAGATTAAACCCCATGAAAAGCAGAGATGACCCACGCAGGTCTGCCGGGCTCTAGACAATTGCTTCAAAAGCCCCATGACCAGACACGCTCCAGCGTGAGACAGCTTAGCCTCTGAAACCCCATGAGCAACATCAATTTACTGCAGCTAAAATCTGTCCTGGCACTGCAAGCCCAGATTTATATGCTGTCAGCATCATTCTCCTAGGTATAAAGCATTCCAAGTCCTGAGTCCTGATCAAAGCAATTTACTCTTCAGATTGCTTTTTTAACACAATGGACAATCAAAGACATAAACCAATCCAAAATATCTTAGCCAGTTGCCCAGTGTCCAACTAGGTGTCTGTTTTGCAAGGAGCACTGACCTAAAGAGGCTCCTCTGAGATGAAGCCCAGCTTATTCAAATGAATCCTACGCCCCTAAAGGGCTCACTCAGAATAAAGGGTGCAGAGTCAGGAACATATTTATATTTTAATTACAATCAGACACTAGCAATGCTCTCCAAGAACAACTTGCCATAAACTTCCTCCTCCTTTTTTTGTTTTGTATTGAACTCTTGGTTTTAGTGAAATAGCAGAAATGCTTTTTAACTTCCATTCTAAGACTGGCACTTTGACATGTAAAGGTAAGAAAGCCTCTGCAGAGCAGCAGCACCTGGCTCTCACATTGAATCAAACCAAATATTTGCGCGACTCAGCACTGCTAGTGGGGAATCTCTCCTATCGAAACTTTTGCTAGACAAAAAATGCACATATTTTTCTGAATGTCAAATGCAGAGGAGTCTGTAGATACCCCAGCCTGTCACATAGTAGAACTTCATTCTCCTGTCTTCACTCATGTTGACTGCTACCACTTTACTCCACAGGAGAAGCCCCTCCACCAGCATCCACGAAAAGGCTGCCATGAAGAAGAGATGAAGGCAGGCAGTGACCGTGAAACACACCACCTGCAGAGAAGAGAAATCACACGTCCTTCAGGAGCTGTTGTCCCCTGTGAGCTTCCGGGTGCGTGTGCTCAGGAAGAAGACAGCAGCCTGCAAATTACGCAGCAGAACGTGCACAAATGTGTTTAAACATCCACAAGCACCAGGAAGAGTCCTTAAAACTGCAACACATGACTAGCCCAACTGCTGCAGCTCACACTCATTGCATCTGTGTGACCACCTCAAACCACAGAAGAGGGAACTGACAGCATCTTTTCCTGCAGTTCTTGGACTTTCCTTGCAGGTCTCTCATCTCAGAGCTGCTTGATCCAGCCCTGGGATGTGGAAGAGGACGCAGAAGGGGACAGAACTGTAGGCTGCTGTTTTATAACTACTTAAATTTCCTGAAGGATTTTTTGTCAGAAACAAACTGTCAGAAGAAAAAAGTGAATTTTCCCAATGGATTGCACAATGTACATACACATACCTCCAAATACAGAAACACTGCTCTTTCCTAGATGCAGGTTACAGGTAATCCATGAAACATTAATAAAAGGGATTGTATTTCTGTTCTATTTGTTCTGGCAATAATGCTCGGGCAGGCCTGGTGCTGCTGGCCAAACAGGACTCCTTCTGGTGAGCTCACCTGGTTGGTCTTGGCCAATTCACTGAGCATGAGCAGAGCTTCTGCTGCAGCTAATGCAAAGATCAGGTTCTTGTGCACAGTTGTTCGTTCACTCTTGGGGACACTGAGGAAGGAGAGAGTAAGCCCTCAGCTGCAGTCAAAGGGAAGGGTGCATGTGTTCTTACTAGCCCTTGCTGGGCTGTGCAGACCTGCCTGGGTGACCTGCAGTCTCTCTGCTGCTCACTGCAAAGACGACAGTCCAGCGAGGCAGGGGACTGCCCTGCTGTGCAAGCACTCGGTGCTGGGGAAGCGCGGGGGTACAGCTGCTCAGACTCACACCCGTGCTCCAAGGAACAGGGAGCGAGGAGGAGGTGGAGCCGTGCCGACACGGCAGATCTCTCTGCTTGCCAACAGAAGGATTGGCAACTGAAGAAGTAGTCTTTGCTCCATTTATTTTACAGAAGTTAGCTCTAGCAGAGAAGCTTTTATCGTAAACATTGTCACTGATAAAAATCTTTCCACAGGCACTCAGGTGTGTGCACAGCTCATCAGCATCTCCACAGGAAGAAGCAGCACCGCACCCCCCCAAGTCAACGACAGCCGCTCCCCTCCCTCCCCTCTGCTGCCCACCACCAGCGCAGCTCCCCAGTCCCTCCCCGCACACCTGCGTCACCCCACACTGACAGAGGATGCCTCGTTTGTACACTTGTTCTGCAGCAAATAGCAAACCAAAAATACAGAGAAGGCTACAAGTGTCTGGACTTCTCTTACCCAACGGCCAAGAATAAAATGAAGGTAACTGTCAAGGCACAGAAGGAAACTCCACATCCAATAAAAGTCAAGGTCTGCAGTGTGAGCTCCTCCTTGGTGGTCCTCTGCTCCAATCATGAAACAACAGAAGACACAAACCCCCACAAATTAACTACAGACTGCTCGCAGTTCTGGCATCCACTCCACAGACCAGCAGAGAAAGGCTCCTCGCTTACCTGCATCTCGTACACCTGCAGCAGCACAGCAAAATTCGTGGTGTGGTTGCAAAAACAGGCAGTGGAGTCCAGAAGAGATGCCACCACAGAGCAGCCGGCTGTGGACCACATCCCACCAGCATCTGGGCTAACAGGCAGTAAAAAACAGAGAAAACACATGGAAATTACCATCCACTTCAACAGAAAGCCAAGGTGTTAGGGGAATTTCATTCTCCCAGAAGAAGCAGACTTGAAAGGAGGAAGAAGAGGCTATCAGAGACAGGTCTTCATACGGACTCCCCTTGGGCTCATCCTCTGTCTCAGCAGATTTGCCTTATCCATCAGGCATACACAAGAAAATAGGTCTAGTGTCAACATGTGCCTTAAAAAGCACAGTTCAGCCACCACCGCTTTAAACAGAACTCAGTAACTGCATGGCTCTGGCAAGAGCTCCTTTTACAGCACATTCACCGAGAGCATCACTGGACCAGACATGTCTAATCCTCCGCACCAGCCCGGCCTGCCACGTGCCCTGTGCAGTTCCACCAAACTCCCGATTTTTGGCCAAGCCAGCCTGGCTCCAGGCAGCCAGCGGCTCTCCGCTGCCCGGGCAGCTAGCAGAGCTCCAGCTCCAAATCCCCTGTGCAGGGGCCAATGCTGCTGGGGGTCAGCCCCGTCCTCACTCGGCAGCACTGAGCCTGCCCCAGGACCAAGGGAAGATGAGATTCAGCGCAGGGCTAGCGGAACTGTTTGCGCAGCAACCAGCCGCTCCCAGAAACACCCTCTTCCCACCATCCCCAAAGCGACCCACGCCTATAACAAGACTGTGACTCTAAGGAGTTTTTTTGCACTTGAATAACTTAATTACCAATCCATAATATATCACAGTCTCAGTGGTCTCACTGCGGTGACATTCAGCTAAAACACCTCTCGATGCCACGCAGTATTTATGAGGCCGGGAGTCCTGCACGTCTGTTGAGCTATATATCTCGTACCAACCCTTCTTTGTTGCAGGGAACAATCCTAATTAACTAGGGCTTTCCATTTTATGTATGTACCTCATTAAAGGTCACTTGCTTGTGAGTGACTTTTTCAAAGGAAACCTTCCCAGGAGAGAGCTCTGTCCCAGCAGACAGAGGATGCCAGCACACAACGCAGGCGAGGAATCACAGGTCCCCACCCTCACCGTTCTATCTACATTGTTACGCTTGGTTTTGCAGCGGAGATAAAAGCTCGTAAATCTGGGTACCCGCACTGAAACCAGGCACCTGAGGCTGAAGTTCCAGAAGGCACAGACGGGTCCCACCAGCTTCCCGGGCAGGTCCTGCAGGCAGAGAGGGAGAAGC